TTCCTCTTAAATAGGGTACAGAAAATCCACACACCTGACCTAGATCTGATCCTGTCTAGCAATTCCCAATTACTTATGTTGGTATTTAACATAAATCACAGTAAAACCCCCTGGATATTGCATTTGTACAAAGCATGAGAACACTGAATATCAGCACTCTTCTCTTTTCAGACAAACTTCAGCCATCAACAGAAAATAGAACAAGCTACTGCACTCCTGGCAAAACTGACACAGATATTTATACTGTGTTCTTAAGCTCTCCAGCGAGAATCTGGTGCATCAGCCACTGACCATAATCTGCTGAAAAACCTCCCTGTCACCCTCAGTTCTTCTCTTCACACTTGATTCTTTCTGTAGTCCAAGCACCAATCACTCTCACTTGCTAAAAACATCAGTGTATCTCTAACCACACTTAACACATATTTAAAAAACAAATCCCAACTAATAATAAATAATATAACATATAAGAACCACAAAAACTGATTTTCAGAAACACACTCATTCCGTTCCATGAACATCTATACACAAGCATGGTCTATTTCAACACTTACCTAAGACTTAGTTAAGAATATTTTAAGAGTGTATCTAGCATTAATGTAAAAAATGACTGATATTTTTAAAAGCTAAAGGTGAGAAGATAAAATTTAGAAAGTGATGAGTGCTAGGTGATGCGAATAAAGAAGAGGCAGCACAAGTTTACCAAATTTTAAAGGAAAAAAGAGAATAATCTCTCAACTTTTTGTTTTCCTAATAATTTTCCTAAATGTATATATTTCAAAATTTTTAGCCACTGTATTTTTTCCAGAAGGGAGAAAATGATTGTGTTTGAGAAATGCCATCCTGTGAATTGTAGGGGAGTGAATAATTTGAACTACTTTCAAAACAGGCTTACTAAGAAGTGAGCCTTTGTGCCTCTTGCACAGGGACAGCCTTGGAGTCTGTACTTGGTCACACACGTCCTTTATATAATTTAAAGTCCTAGTTCTTATTTACCAGTTTGAACAATAATGTCTATAATTATATACATGCTATATATAATGAACAATAATGTGTATAATTCCATTACTTAATGTTCAGCTGCATTTTCTGAGAAACCCCAAACTGTGTCTCTAAAATCCTTTCAGTTTCTCCCTGTCTCCAGACTAGCACACAGTGCACAGACTGCTGAGAGGGAGGAGGTAACATTACAAGTTTTCCTGGACTTAGTGTACTTTAGACAAACGAGACTGAAAAAAAAAGAAGTTTATCACATTATGAAGCAGCCTGTTCTGCTGTTGCACATGATTACCAAAATGGCCCAGAAATTACACAGCTCTGGTAAGTCACAGCAGAGAAATGTTAATTGAATTTGTTTAGCATAATCCTTGATCTCATATCTCACTTCTGACTCTCCCATCCTTTATGGATAATCCTTTTATTAATGAAAGACAAACACACATGTTCAATCTAAAATGCACCTGGTCACATTGCTGTTTTCCAAAACACTAGAAATTTTGTGCTAGCCACAACTTTTACAGAAAAATGACTTTAAAACATCTTAAAGAGCTTTCAAAATGTCAGTCAGTAGGATGAAAATGTAATTTTTTACACAACACAAAAAGACACAGTCACACTATGGAACGTACCATTCCTTACATCCATGAGAGGAGGCTGGAGAAAGAATATTGAGGGACTACATATTTGGGAGTAAGAACAAAAGCTCATGGGATTGTATTTTCCAAGCTATAGGTTTAGCTGGTGCATGCACTTTAAATTATATTGAAGGCTGCTCAGGTGTGGAATACTAGAAATAGTCCTGATCATGCTGAAGTTGGTGGTATCAGATAATTCTGTTGATCATAATACTTCAGAATAGATGACAATATGCAGTATTTAAAGCTATCATAAAAAAACTCCAACAAAATAAACACAGGAAATCTATGGTAAAATGTGTCAATTTTGTCAAGTTCTCCAAAGTCAAGGAATATAAATGTAATGTCAAAAGCACATACTATTGCCCAAGAAAACAACTGAAGACTTTGTAGGATGAGGACAATGCATTTTAAGTCTACTCTTAAAAGTGTTCAGATGATTTCAAGCATTCAAGGGCTCTTGCTGAGGCACAGCCCTGCCAGATGCAAAAACCTGGACTGAGAGTTATCAGACTCAGAGAAAACAATTTCTAGTCAGCATTTCATGTAATCAACATGCAAAATCTGATTCAAAAATTCCCTGCCTTCAGCACCTTTAATTATTCTTCTTTCCTCTAGAAGGCAGCAAATCAGGTGATTATTTATTGAAAGATCTGTGAAATGTTTTCTCATCAGACAATGTTAGGCTGTAGGCTCCTTTCTAGGATTTCATGTGGACTCACAATTCTTTTTGCCTACTGATTCTGCTGATAATCTTTTCTATCCATTTTACTAAACATAAAAAGAACAATAAAACTGTATTTGTTGTTGCAGTGGCATCTCACAATGATATAAATAACTCTTTTGTAAGTGAAGTTAGGTGACTGAGTCAAAGGCAGCAGAATGAAACACATCCTCCTTTGCATTTTTAAACATTGTTTTCTGACAATCCCATCCCTTTTGTCCATGACAACTCCGGTCAAAACATCCATTTTATTAATAAATGTTGAGATAAATTGAGTAATTAATGGTTCTTCCTGCCTGGTTATTGAAATGATTGATTTAGAAAATAAGTCTTGGTTCAAAGACATAAGGTAATATGGCAGTACTTGAATTTAAATGTAATTGTTCCCCCACTAGATTAAGTATTTCTTTTGTCTGAGAATACAGAAACTACTCTTATTTTCTTGACACAGAAAAAATTTTCAGTCAGAAGAGTTAGAAATAGAAACTTACTGTCTTTCTTCTCCCTTTCATTAAATTTCCCTGCAGACTAAGAACTACCATGGTATCTTGTCTTTCTCTGTTCCATCCTCAAAAAGACTGAGAAAAATCTAGTAGATTATCAACACTGAGCTGTTTGAAAGAGCTAGAAATACTGCTCTATTATCACAGCAGGAATTTCCTAAGTGATGAGTTCATCATAGGATGCACAGACATTCTCCTGGAAGGTAGAATAAAGGCTGTACCTGGAACTCAAAGCCAGCAAATCCTCATCTTGACTTGGTGCCAGGTCATGTTTTGCCAGACAAAGATATTAAAAATGTAATGCCAGTACTAACGAGAGATTTGGCACACAAAACATGAGGAATGTTACAGATTGTGCTGACAGTGTGACACTATGTTTTCCGGGATGTAATCTGGGTATCATGAGAGTAAGCTTGGAGCACTAATGAGAAGAATGATATTGAACTGGAAGAGCTGCTAAATATGCAGTAGCCACAGGGTTCCTGGAGTGAACTGGAACCGAAATGAAAACTGCAATAGTGAAAGTAACAGAGGGTAAACTAGGCAGAAATACAGAAGGAAGAGACTCTCAGCAGGCAAAACTTGTTCGTGGTTCCACACTTGCCAGGACATAAAGGGTTTTTCTAATCATACTCTGTTTATCCCTGAAGTACTGTTAAAGAGGAGCAGGATTTTTGAGCTTAAAGGGGCACATATCATTTCAGGATATAAATGAGTTTCACAACTGACTGGAAAAAGCCATGTTTAAAACTTGAACAGAAAACCTGTTTATTATCTGCAATTTGTATATTGGATATACAAAGTTCATTCTATGTCTTTGAGATTCCTGTGGTTTTTTTGCTGTTGCCCTTGTTGATTTTTGTTTGCCTCCTATTTGTATCAGCTATAGTTAGTGATCCTTATATGAAATGTATATAATATTCTTTAATGAATTCTTTTTTTGACCATCTCTGTTGGAATTCTCAGCATTTGCACTACAGGTCTAGACAGGAGCCATGCACCCAAATAACTCTGACAGTCAACAAAATCTGTCAGTGTACTAGACGTTCACTTATTGAGACACAAATCACAAATATAGATATGTATAGTCATTGAAGAAGCATTACCATCACTAGAACTTTAAACAGAATGCTAGCTAATTTATCTCTTCAGTCTGAAATGAATGTTCCATAATTCTCAGTAGCTCACAGTGTTGCCTCTGGTATCCTGGCTCCTGTTAAACTGCTAATATCTTCAATTACCACTTTATATGCAAAATTCACCACTGAAGTTATACTTAATTTTTGACTTCTATGAAAGTGTGAGATACAAAGGAAAGCAGCAGCCAGGCAGTTCTTTGTTTTTAGGAGTAGGATAATTGAGGGAATAACAAAGTAACCCTGAAGCTCATATTGTGACTGCCCCAGTTGTCATTTATTTCCACTGTACTCGATTCACACTCTTCACAGGAATGCAGAGCAGGAAGTTTTAAGGTAGAGTGGACTTATACCTCCCTCTTCCTCAGTACAATACATTTTACTACTATCAGTACTTGGAGATAATGCATAATTCAGTTTGTCTTGTATTAATATATTGTTCAAGGGAAAAAGAGCAAAGAAAACTTAACCCATGAAGAAAGAGGTCTACTCCACACAAAGCCCTCTTTCTGAGATAACCAAAGAAAGCAGATTTGCTTTTATTTCTTCTCCTTCCCTCTAATGTCAAGTACAAGGATACCAAAAATAAAGCAGTGTGTTTTTCTGGATTCAGAACTATGTCAAGCAGAAATTACTTCTCACTTTTAGTAACAGGAATCCTATTTTTGGATGCACTTGAAAAGTGCACTGTAGAGAGAGATTATTATTATTTTCTTTAAAGATTAAAACAGTTATGTTTTGACTAAAACATGTAACTGTGATGTTCTGGTAAACAGCAGTGAAAAAATGTAAGTAAGAGCAACTACTACTATCCATTTCTCTCTGTTATATTTTATTTTAACTTCTTTAATTCAGCCTCTAAAACAAGCGCACAAAGGAGTAAACCCCAACCTCTGTTCCATAGAAGGATTAAACCTGGGAAATAATTTAATAAAACTCTACAAGAAAAATGACTTAAGTGTTGAGGACAATGCAGCACTAATGTGTTTCATAAGCACTGCCTTACCGGCTGTAAGAGGGTCAGCGCACATGTCACTTCTGTTTTGCTTCCATGCCAGCAGGCACTGCAGGCTGAGCGGATCCGCTGCTGCTGCTATGTGGCTGTTGAACGCCACCATCAGCTGATGAGCCTTGGCGATGCCACAGTAGCTATCTGTTTCAGCCACCAAGGGCAAATTGTTCAAAGATTTTGCTGCCTCAGAGGCCTGACTGAAATGTTCCAGAGCTTTGTTATAGCTCCCCTAGTAAAGAAGAGGGGAAAAAAAGGAAAATAATGTTAAAAACTACTTCTAGTCAACTGTATTTTACCTTGACATTAGAGCCTTGCCCTCTCATGCCTCAGAGATGTGGCAGCCCACAGAATGACCCATGGCAGGGCATTAAGGAAATCACACTCCCTTGCTGTTTTCTTACCTCTAAAATCCAGATAATACTGCTCATATCTTTGAATTTAATAGTTTTTTGGTTATCTCTGTAGTATTTTGAGTGTAAAATCCAAGTATATCGATGCTAAGTATTAATAAAGATTGCAGCCAGACCATTTAGAAATTATTGCTATTGTTTCATTGCATTCAACATTTTTGTGGGAGGAAAGGTCCTAATTTATGGTGGTATTAAATTTTAAAAAAACAAATCCTAAAAATGGAAAAATGAGGGATAATGAAGTGATAGACTCACAGCACAGAAAATAACAGAAATTAAAACTTACTCATTTATGGGGGAAGAAAGGGGTATACAAAACCCCAGGGATATTCCTAATCACAAAAAGAGAAACAGTAGGAGAAATGTAGTCCAAATGTTGCTGAATAGAAAACTCAAATAATTTATCTCTCTGTTCTACTATTGGAGTGGAATTCTGCTGCCCTGATGGCAGAAACTTCCTGACTGAAAATATTTTCAGAGCTGTCTTATCCTTTCACCTTGATTTAGTAAGACTGAAATTCCCTTCTGCACAGAGCTTGGGAAAAGAGATTCCAACTGGTACCAGTTTCACTTGATACCACTTTTTGGGATGAAAATTCCTATAACTGCTAAAATATGCATATGATTAAAAAAAGGAAAAAAAGAGTAATAGAAATGGCAGTAGTCTTTTAGCCCTGTTTAATACAGCAGAAGAGCAGAACCAGGCCTGTAAGGACACATCAATGAATAAAGAATGATAAACTGTAATATAACAAAAAGCAGAAACACCTACTTACCATACTCATGAGAACTATGGCAGCTTAAGTGATGCAATTAATGAAAGGAATGCAGCAAATCAGACTAAGAAGCTCAGAAAAAGTGAAATCAGAAATGACGGAGTGTATCATGCATATTTCAGAGTGTACATAATAAGTAAGCAACCTGTTTAACAAACTAGGAGAAATGAGACCTAATAGTCCTGCATAACACAAACCCAGGCATTTTAGGAAACAAGAAACATCTGTGTAAAACAATCATGACTAGAAAGAAAACTGTGTGTACAGCATTAAAAAAAGACAGTGTTGGTGAGGGAATAGTGAGATGAGAGAGCTGGAAAGATACAGCAACAGTATGGACAGACCGAAGTGAATTTGGTCAAAATGATTTGTGCTTGGAGAAAAGGAAGTGTTATATCCCTGGTTTATTAAAGGTCCCCACGGATAGATCTGGATATAAATAGATATATAATTTGATGGACAGTACTACTGCAAATTTTATCACTGGGGAATGTACAGAGTTGAATAAAAAGACCCTAATAATGACTTAACTTAGAGAACACTGGTGATGACAGCTGACACCAGCAGGCAGTTATCCAAAAGAAGAAATGTTAATTCACGCTCAGTTTTGGTAAACACTGCTGACTTTGCAGAAAAAAATTATACAGAAAACGGGGAATTGCAAACTTTAAGATTTTTTTATTTATATTTTAACTAAATATTTTATATATATTAATATTATTAAGTAACTGCACTTGTGCCCTTCTACACTACTGCCCCAGCACAAGGCAGAAAATTCTGAACTGAGAAAGAGAATTTAAAGAATAATCAAATAGAGATTAGTTCTTAAAATACCTGTTCTATTGAATTGATTATTAGCAATGGTGGAAGAAGGGATGAAATACAGAAGCAGTTAAACAGAATTTATTTAATTATTTTTCAGATTTGGAGGAGACTAATTCAGCATAGTGTCATATCACCCTGCTTCCTTCTAAGTTTCAGATCAATTTTACAGTTACTTCATCAAGTTGTCAAAGAACTTAAAACTAAATTTTCAATGAGAAATTCATCATTTATGTTAAGAACACATGTAAACATAAAACTCTCAGGTTAGTTTAGAGATTATAGACTAAAAAAAGTTTCTACTGCTTATGAACTAAAAACAGGACAAACAGAAGAGCAATTTTGGTAGTGGGAGTTCTCTGTAAGAGGAACCCAGGAAAAAAAAAGCGGTATTTAGGGATAGAGTAAGTGAAAAGGGGAAAGAGCTCTGTTCAATATATTACACATAGCACTTACGACAAAAAAATATGCAACAGAAGATATTTTATTATATTATTATTTTATTAATAGTGAAAGCGTTTTCTAAGTTCCATATTATCCAGCGTACAGAACAAATTCTTTTTTTACTTATTGAATCTAAATAATTTTGTGTAGCAATTCATCTCTAAAATAGGTGTTAAAGCAGGAATCTTTCACTTTTGCAGCAATGTCTTTAATCCTTTTGGTTTCAAAACCCAAGTGCTCCTGCAGTGCAAGTGGAGTGACAAGAGAAAGTCCATTGCTAACAGACCTTTGACAGACTACTTGCTGCTAGAACCTATTTCACAAATTTGGCTGAGAGGATGTAGAGAAAAAAATGTAGCTAAGATTATAAACAGCTCATTAGTATGCAGTGCAGTATGCATTCATGTACACTGCAATAAAATTCCATTTGCATTAACCGATGACTCTTTACGGGCATATATGGCCCCAATGGTGATTTGGATGCAGATTTTTCACAGCATGTAAAGTTTGTCCTGATCTGCATTTGGAGTTTTATATTCATCTATTTTAAAACAATACTCTATGTGTTAAATATGATGTGAAACTTTCACCTTTCCCAGAAAATTAAGGCACATTTCATTTAATCACACAGTGACTTCTCCTTGGGTAACTCCTGCAAGATGCAACACCTGGAGCAAATCCTCCTGCGTCATCTCATAAACAAAACCAGATTTTACCAAGAAGTAAATCAAGTTTGAGATCATTACTACAAACAGTACTTACTCTTTCATTGTGAACTTTTCCAAGCAGGACATTTGCATCCACCAGGCTTTGGCTTAGATTAGCGCTCTCAGCATTCTTCAGAAATTCTCCCAAGTACTTCACGGCCTCATTTGATTTTCCCTGACTGAAGCAAAGGACAGGGACAAAATGAAATATTTACTCAGATAGCTTCTTCAAATGCTGAAGATCTGCCCCCTTGTTCTGAAGCAACTTTACTTTGTGATGACTCATTCATGACTGCGTTTTATTTCCAAATGGCCTCCAGCACTACCTGTGCTGAACTCAATAAAACTACTTCCAAACAGAATGTCTGAGGGCAAAGCTGGATCCTTTCAGCAAAATAGAACAAAACATTCTTTCAGAATATTGTGCCATATTTTAAGGCCAAGAATGAAAACAGGTGACTGATATAACAGGATTTTTGGACCTTCCATTATTTTTTATTTTTTTTTTCCGTACTAAGCTGCTGATAATATCTTCAATTCAGCTGGACCTCACATCCTGACAAAATAGGGGAAGGAGGTATGAAGGTGTTTTTTTCAGTAAGGTCTTCTGTCATTCAGAGCTGCTCTAGAAGCTGGTGGTGCAGCAGCAGCTCTATAAAAGTATTGTATCTTAATTCTGGGGTGACAGCCTTTCCCTGTAACACAATACTGCCCTGTGGCTGGGTGGATCAAAGGTGGCCAGGGTCACACAGGCAAACCTATAAACTGTGGATTGCAGGTGCCACCCCCAAATCCCAGTGAGCTCAGAGCAACCTGAGGTCACAGCTGCATCTAACTTGAAAATTGGCTAATGTACCTTGACAATAACATTTGCAGATTTCCTTATTTTTTTTATTTTTTTTTAATAAAGCCAGTCATATTAACAATATAAGACCTCAGCAGTGTGATTGCAAGATATAAGACAGACATCTGAGCTTGCTTGTGAATAAGGCACGGTGCCCTTTTTCCCTTTAAGGTTGGAGTGTTACTCCAGCTGACCTCAATATTAGCCATGAACTTGAGTCACCAATGTAGGAGTGTAACATGCTAAATGTCAATGCACCAAGCAAGACACAAAATCCAGACTTAATTAAGAAATTCACACAAATAGGAGTTTCTGTAAGTGATAAAGAATTGTGATCTATTTTCTCACCATCTTAAACCACCTTCAAGTTATATTCCTGCAGAAAATGATGGCCTAGCATTTATTTACAATACAGTGTTTATTATAAACTATATTAGGGATGTGCGCTTTCAAAAAAAATCTGGCAGAACTCTGAATTTCCCTCTTTTATGCTATTGGAGTAATTATAACAGCCTGCCACGAAAGAGGAAACACAGCAAAGCTTAGCTGCAAATTTACAATATTGCAGTGATTATCTGTATGTGACTGAGAGGGCAAAATTCCTACAAAAGGATGCTAAATCACTGCAAACTAACATTCTTGAAATGTTCAAGTATATGCTACTGTAAAGCTTAGTGGTCAATTAGCAGACTTGGATTTACTAAACTTTCCTGATTTAAGTATTTTATTACCATGAGAATATGAAACATATCAGACTGTAAACATTTACCAAACGTCAAAAGGCTTCTAAATTTTAAAATTAGAAACACATATTTTTTTAACCTGTTAATTTTTTCCAAAGAAAAGAAAATCAAATGTTTCCCTACAGAAACACAGCATATGATTTATATAAGTTAAAAGACAAGGTTAAAGTGTTAGACAAATATTAATTCAAATTTTTCTAGTTTTCTATATGCAGTGCACAGGTGCAACTTGAAGAGCATATTATATGGTATAATCATTAAATCCATTCAACCAGACCTTTGAGAGTTAAAAACATATATTCTGAGGAAAAGGACTCCTTGGTCCAAGGAATGAGAATGAAACAGTGCAGAATATTTGTGTATCAAGGTGATTCCACTTTCCAATTGGGAAAACAGGACTGTTAACACCCACATCCCCTGACAACTGTCCAATTATGTATATCACACTTGGCCTACTGTTTGCAGTAGAAGTAATCAATAAAGGATGTGGTTGAGTGAACATAGATTTTGGTTGAACCAATGCATGAAAACTTAATCATTTACTCAGAGTGGAGAAATCAAATAGAGCAGAGATGAAACAGCCACTAAGGGGTTTTTTGATTGTGCCACCAAGTTTGTGGGCTAGAGGCTGAAAGTAATAAAGCAAATGGAATCAGTGACAGAAGAAAATGTAAAAAGGTTTTCTTAATTTCATGAATTAATAGAAATGTTTTGATGCATTTTTGGCCATTTTTTATTTTTCACATCAAAACTTCTGCTCCACATATAGAAAATATGAAAATTGCTAGCCTATATAACCTCTTTAAGGAAAACAGGAACCAATTTGCTACATATCAGAAAGATATTTCTCACTCTTAGAACTTCACTTATGCCAGGTAGCAATCAGTTGGTACAGGTTAACAATTTTTCAAAGGAAGTATTTTTAAAAGCACTACAGCTTGAGATATTTAAAGTATGCTAGAAAGATTACTGAAACACTTTATCCTGCACAAGACCTGATAACATGATAAACAGGTCTTTTCTACTCAAAGGGCTAATATTTTACAGTTCCTTCAAAAATCTACATGTTATTTTATACAGCCATATACTTTCTATCTCCTTAGACATCACCTTCCTAAATGCATAAAATGCAATTTCCTAAAGATATAGTCATTCATGATCCCACAGAACAGTTATGATGACTTCAGCAGAAGAGATTACACATCTACAGCAACTCATTTTCCAGTTTCATGCTAAAATGCCCTATGAGATTTTTACCCCTATTAGACTTTTATGAAAATATGCACCTTTTATAGGATTGCTCATGTGATGGAATTGGATGTATAAATCATGTGTCCACAAGAAGTCATTACCATGGTGGACACTGGCAGAATAAGTCAAGAACATGATGCTATTATGTCAGATTCTTTCCCCTGGAAAATGACATGACTAAATGTACATGACAAAGATTTTCAGTTTCCCATGGTCTCTGGAAACATCTGCAGCAAAGATTTCACAAAATATTCCAAAGCCATAGACAGGTTCTGAGCCATTCAGGAGGGCTCAGGAACTTTCTCCAATCTGTCACAAGGAAATAAGTGCAAATTCTCACAGACATTATAGTTGTAACGCATTATTTTTGGGAAACAGTCATCTTCTTGTGAAGATGTTACCCATCAAACTTAGAATTATTTACACAAATCTAGCCCAGACCAGGCAACAATACAAGTAAAGGCAAACCGAACAAGCTGAATATGGGGATTCTGTCACCAGCAGTGATTATTGGTGCATTTATCCAAAATGTTCTGTGTCCAGCTCTGGCATCCTCAGCACAGGATGGATATGGACCTATTGGAGTGGGTGCAGAGGAGGCCACCAGGATTCTCAGAGGGCTGGAGCACCTCTCCTATGAAGACAGCTGAGAGAACTGAGGTTTTTCAGCCTGCAGAAGTCACCAGGGAGAACTTATAGTATCTAAAATGAGCTTATCATAAAGATGAGGACAAATTGTTGAGCAGGGCCTACTGCAACAGGACAAGGGGCAAGGGTTCTAAACTGAAGGAGGGTTGATTTAGATTAGATGTAGGAAGAAATGTTTTACAACAACTGTGGCAAAACTGGAACAGGTTGCCCAGAGAGGTGGTTGGTGCCCTATCCCTGAATATATTAAAGGCCAGCCAGGATGGGGCTTTGAGCAACTTGGTCTGGTTGAAGACCTCACTGCAGGGGGGGTGGATTAGCTGACCTGTAAAGATCCCTTCCAACCCAAACTATTTTGATTCATGCATGATTCATAGGTGCCCATACTTTTCCCTATGTAAGTTTCTCAAACAACTGAAAGTTGCCGAGTGTCACCCTAAAAATCAGGCATTTCAATACTGTTTTCATAATTTCTAGCAATTTTCCCAAGAAAGTAACTATAAACATAGGTGTTTATACATTCCATTAAAGATATGCCTTTTGATAGACATCTCTCACGGCCAGTGCAGTAGGGAAGGTGTTAACCTGACTATCCAATCCCCTAGTCGTGATCGAAAACCTACAAATACTGAAAGAACAAATAAACGTCTCTTCTTTCACCACACCAAGAGCTGTGTGAATCATTTCGTGTCCAACACTGACAGCTGAGAACCATCATGATGTTTTACAGGGTTGAAGAGTAAATCCCTATCACGTACCCAAAGCTCTTCAAAGCAGGTACATATGTAAGGTGTTTAATTTGGTAAATGTTTTCATGGCAAAACTAGCAGATGGGTTTTATCTGTTGTAGTCAACAGGCATTTTCAAAAGAAAGGGTTTATGGCTGCGTCTTCACCAGGAAGACCCCATGTATTCTGTAATCTGCTCTTCAAGAGATTAAATCCCTGATCCTATACATGGGATTAAACTCCTCCTTCACGTCAATGAATCAGAATATTCCTCTTCTAGAAGAATGCCTTAAATACTAAACTGAGGAGTCTTACCACTCTTAGTATCTGCTCCCACTGCTCCTCATCTACTGTTTTCCTTCTCTTCCAAATTGCAACAACTGGAAAGCAGTGGGGCTGTCCATTCATGGACAGCTATAGAATGTTCACAGAAGGTGTGGAATACAGATTTGATGCAGAAGAAAATCACTAGCCACTCTGTCTTTTGGTCTGCTTTTAAGAAAATAATTGCACTGGCATGGTCTTTCAGATGAAGGGTTTAACAAACTGACTTCAGAAAGGTCTCAGAATCTGCAACTTCTTGAGTAAATAAATGCATGTGCCCTCATTCCAGAATGCCTAAATCACAGAAAGGAAATTAATATACATAGTTTACCAGGGATATTCTCTTGACTATCTTAACCCAGCCTCTACCCAGACTGCTACTTTTTGAGAATACAAGGAGCTCAGGAATGCTACTGAGAGCTCAGAAAACTTTGTACTCATTGCAAAGCCACTCATTGTAACAGCTGGTGTTTTTCTACTTAATCTTTCTTGGTTAGGCTTTATGAGAGTTTTAAAACTGGGTTCTGGTATTCTTAGTGTGTTCTGTGTCTTTTTGAATATCTTTCCTCATGTTCTTATTTAGGATGCTCAGAATACATGTACACATGAATTATGCATCAGAGAGCTGAAGAGTACTGTGGTTGTGGCTGATCCGTGTGTGCTTGGATAAGGCCAAGAGACAAGGGATCTAACTCAAAGAGGAGAATTTGCTCTGCACACTGAAATAAACCAGGTGACAAGTCCCTCTCCATATTGCCGAGCTCTATCATGCATCATATGCACTGAGGTCTTCAAACACAGGATAAATCAAGAATAAGCTACAACCTTCACTTTAATATCTTTTTTCCCTATCTCATATGGTAATTTCATTAGACTATTTTATGTCAAAATTTGTACCTGAACTAATTCACCTGGAGGAAGATTTTAATGCCAGATGCTGAAACAAAAATATTGAACACAAGCATTGTATTTGCAACAAATCTGTACCTAGTTACACATGCACAAACCAGAAGTGAGTGCAATAAATGGAAATTTACAGTTCAGAAAATATTACACTGAGACACCTACTGAAGCTTGCTACATTCTTCCAGGTTTCCTCTCTTTCTTAACCTAGAAAATAGGTCTGCATTTCTATTTTCCAGTAAGGTTAGGTCCCCCCACAAACCAAAAAAAAACCCCAACACTTAAAAAGCCTGAAAAATGTGGAAGAAAAAAGGACAGGTTTACAGGAAAAGAAAAACTAGAACTATACATTTTAAAAAATGTGTAACAGTTTAAAATAACTTTCGATGAAAGGGTCACTTACTGCAAGAAGGGCACTGCTTAAAATTTAAGCAGTCAGTAATGGGAAGCGACAGACCTCTTAACAATTTAAGTCTTTCACAGCTGAGTGAATCTGCACTGACAGTCAGACAAGGATGTGTTAACCTACCTTGCCAGGATCTGGGCTACAGCTGCATATGCTCTGCCCAGGCCAGCAGAATCACAAAGGGTTGTGAAGATTTCTACAGAGGTGTTCAAAACCTGTGAAACAGGAAGATAAAAACAGTAAATAGTGTTTTAGGAATAGTAGGAATTCCCACTTTTTCTTCCCCTCCCAATCTCTCTGTCCACACAGAACACAAAATTAAAGCTTTCCCACTTCTACAGCTGTTCTCTAATTAGCCATAATGGGACTAGAGTTTTGATCATTATTTATAGTTGTTTGAAACTATTCCATAATTACAAATCAAAAAGACATAACTTGCAATTATGTCTCTGTATTTTGGCAATTTGCAAAAAAACAGAGGTTTTTTTACTGATTTGCAGTATAAATTTTATTATCCGTTGTTTAAAGGATTTTAAGAGCCTGTGCTTTTATTGAGTTTCTGATAATCAATAACTTAAGATGGTGTCCTTTGCATTCATACTGTTTTAGAATGATATGCTGAAATACAACTCAGTATTATTTTTCTTTCTTTAATCCGTCACAAGTTATCTTAGTACAATTCAGATGCCCCAAAACTGAATCAATTACAGGTTATACATTTAATCTATGTTGTCTTAAAATACTGTAGATAGCGCTGCTATTTTTCTAATTAATTATTCACTCACAAGAAGTTTATTAGCATTAGCTTGGAATCTACTCTATTATTATCAACCCCTCCATAACTGAAGGCTTAAAGCTGCTGCATAAAAATATATGATCTTAATTTAATTTAACACTGACATCACCTGTATTGCAGAATTTATCTTTTCATCCTTTTTTTTTTTCAATGGCGATGACAGGAGAGTGCATATAAAATTAAATCTTATTCTTTCATCCCTCCTCTTTGTTGCTTGACCCAATCTATTACACACATGAGAAAACAGGAAATCTCCAAAGACTCTCTATGGAAATCCTTTTTGCACATTTCCAAGAAAGGAGTAGTGAATGTCATTTACCAGCTCTGAAGGGGGATGGGAGATGCCCAGAGACATATGACAGTATCCTGCATGCCCCATGATGCCCAATGATACTGAGGTAAAAGACTGGGCATTTTCCACTAAGAGCGCATCCCCTGTCACTGGCAAAGTGCATGGCTCAGGAGAAGACAACCTGTTTGTGCTAATGCTGTGGATGTCACCATTTCCATTACTGTTTCCACCACTCAGATTTCCTAGTTTTTGGGGTTTTACTACATGCAGCAGCATCCCTGGACATGGTTCTTATTCTTTAGCTGCACAAGCTCTGTGTGCACCAGAAGTAGCATTGATTAATGTGCACTGCCCTATTTATCATCCCTCAAGTACTTTCTTATCAGTAGTGTTCTAATGTTGCATCCTATCCTTGCAGGTCACTGCCAATTGAGTTATCAATGCATTAAGTGTGACAGAAAGAGTACAAAGGCACTCCAGTTAGGAAGTTGTCACATCAGTTCAGAACTCTCCCTAAACTGAATACATACATGATGTTGTCAGTGCCTGCAGTACATCCTTCTAATGATCCAGGATGGTAGCAGAAACACACAGGTGTCCAGGAAATAATTCTTGGTATTGCATTTAACTCAGGGGACTGCAGCATTTGTTGTAATAATCGTGCCCATATTAGAAAACTTGCTATCAGAGTATCAGGAGGTGTCACAAATGTTATCTGCTGGACTGAAATCATTCCTACTTTAAACTGGCCTCTACAGTATTAAACTTGGACATAGGGCTTGCAGTCATTGCTAAGTAGTGCAGGAAGGTTACTTAGGAACTTAAGGATTTGGCTACTGTATATTTTTTTCTATTAAAGATATCAAAAAGCCTGAAAAGTACAGATAAACCCAAGGAAAAATCATACACAGCACAGCTGAAGTAAAAAGTTGTTTCCTTGCATCGCTGCAACAGCTGTGAGAAAGACAGAAGTAAATAAATAAAGCCACTCATTCATACTGATTAAAAATGCTCATTTTGGTCTCAGGTTACCACTATTCTATACAAATCATTCTATTGTACTTCATTCTAAATAATGAGGAAATTACTTAAATTGAAACATCTTCATGAAAGGGAGGAAATCTTGATAAATTACCATAGAAAATATACTCTTTATGTTTGTATTTCAAATGACTCCTCCCGCTTCAGGTAACACATAGGGACACAGAAAGGGACACAGCAGCTTGATGGAAAGGAGTTGTGTAATGCCCCTGGATGTCACAGCTGCCCAGTATCCATTTATGTGAAAGAAGTGAAGAGGGTTCTCTTCTCCTGTGATGTATGCCCAACCTCCAACCCTCAGGATAGAAACACTTTGGGACAGAAACATTTCAGGATAGAAAAAGAAGAACAGATCAAAGAGGTTAAAGTGACAGTTAAACACATAAGCATTATAGGATTTCACCCAAAGTCTCTTGAAATTACAGCAGATTTTTTATTTTCATTCAAAACAAAAAAAATATAAAATTTACATGCTGGAAAATCAACTGGAACCAGCACAGTGATGCCTGCCAGAATCTGTAAAAAGCCTAAAACCAACAAATAGGCAACAAACTTTCCTGATTATTTTTATGGGATAGGAACAACCAATCCATGTAACCGGCTTGCTGTGGATACCACGTAGGAGAAGACATGCATGTGGCAGAGTATTGTGTGGGCAGGGCTCTGCTAGTCATCATTTGGATCTAATGGAATTTATAGGTTCCCAATGAAAGTTTGCCTTTAGATAGAAGAATAACCAGAAAATAGCATTTATATATATATAAATGCCATTTATATATATATATATATGCCATTCTGTGCAGGGGAAAATTATATCCAAGGAACAGGTGGATTAATTAATGCTGAAAACTCCTACACAAATGTGCAATTTTACTGCATGGGAAAAATTCAGACAACAAAAGAAAAACCTTATTAATGTAAGATGCTTCTGCTGCAGTATTCTATAGCAAATATAGTGCTTGAAAATGTCATCTTGGTAATTTTCTTTGAAATTATTTGTTCATTTATTTATTAATAAAAATATATAACAATGTGTAAATAGATATTGAATGGGACTATGTAAGAATCTATCGTGGTAACATATACTAAAACCAGTTTGGGTATTACACACATTAAGCTAAATTTCCTTCTCAAAAGTTAGACAAAGTTTCCAGAGATTTACTTATTGAAGGGGTAAAACGTCTATTTTTCCTTTATATTTTGTTTTGTTTGTTAGTTTTTTTAGAATTAAAAATTCTGAAAAATTTTTCATGTAAAAAGAGTTCTGAGGAAGGAAGCTGTTAAAATAGATTTATCTTGATCATACTAGACTCCATTCTAAAATTATAAAATTTCCATATTGTTTCAAAGACATTTTGATACTCCTAGCAACTAGTGGTATATGAGGTTGAACAGATTAGAATAATGTACAGTTCTTTCTACTATATATACTTACTATATATATACACTATATATACTACACTATATAAAAAAATGTAACCTAAGTTTAACAATATAGCAATTATAAAAACCACACTGATTCTGGTCACAGATTAGTTTTTGGATCAATGTGACCAAGCACAGTGACTATCTCAAAAGTTTTACTTCTGTGGGTCTGTGGAAAAAGTAGCTTAAAAAACCCAAATAACATGAAGTCAATGTCTAATACAGTGGTTTTCAATCACTTTTCCTTCTTCATGCAGGATAGAAAGGTAGAAGTTGAAGGTGGATTTCAACTCCCACATAACAGACCACAGGATAGCTCCTGTGCAAGCATCCATTCACAAAATCAACTCTCGTTCTGTGTCTTTGTAAGTCTATTGTGTCCACAATTACAGTGTAAAAATAAAGTATTAAGCTCTGCTTAAATCCACAAACTAGAGCCTGTTTGTGGTAACTAATTCACCCTAATTCTCTAACTAGTGGTAAATTTCATGTTTAGCTCCTTTTCCAAGAAAAATATTCTTGAGCTCTCAGGCAGAGATTTACTTCAGTTATCTTGGCATTATGCCAGGCTGAGCCTCCAGGCCTTATTCCATTAATATAAAAGAGATACAGGAGCTCCTCCCCCAAGAAATCCCTCCATCCAAAATCCCACCCTTTATTTTTCATTGTTTTCATACCTGTAATTCTTTTATATGTGCACAAAAACATGCATGCACACCCCATTAGCATATGCAGGACTCAGACAAAAGCACAGAGGCTGTGGAACACTGATACATCTGGGGATAATGGACAAAAGAGCAAATATTGAAAGTATGAATTTATGTTGAATAAAGAACACCTATCCAATCAACATAAGATTAATGCTACTACCAGCATTTCACAGTTTTGGTAAAATACATTTCTCTGAGAAGCACATGATGAGATGACATTGATTTATAATACTGTAACTTTAAAAAACACAAAAACATAGTCCCGCTCTCAACTTTAGATTTGATATTGCTGCCAAACTTTATTGGAAATACATTTGTTTTGATTTCTGCGAATCTAGCTGTGTTTAGCCATTTCACAGCTGGTGAGCAGGAAAGATGCTTCTGCCTCATTTACAGATCTTGAACATGAATCAGACAATCAACTGGACCATTAGTCAAAGAGATCAGTAGCTAATGATTCCTGACAGGCACTGCAGTGGCAGGCTAAGGCCCAGCCTGGCTAGCAGCATCTGACAGTATTTTTCTGAAGCTAACAATAGGTGTTGGTAGACAGACCATGCAGTCGAGTGAGACTACAGGACTCATACCACCTTGTACCTCTTAAATACTTTCAGAAAAAACCACATAGTTCTGATGGTTGCTAAATAATCATTTTGATACAGTCCAGTGAAAATAAGAGACAATAGAATTGCATGCATAGGCACACTGCAATTCAACGAACTCTGACCAGTAGTTGCCTCAGAAATGCTTATTTAAAAATTACAAAATGTGCAGTCTTTATTACCATAATTTGAGTGGTTACACACCTGTGGCCATGCCGAATAAGATTAAAGAGAAGTTTCACAATACAAACCCAGATATAATCCTTTTTTCCAAAACACAGCATGGGAGAGGTAGGACAGCAAAAGAAAATTGTATTGCTGATGAAATGTATTGATCATAATGAGCAGA